AAGCCATGCCCACCAAGCCATATCATGCTTACCAAGCCACGCCCACAGAACCGGTAGTAAAAAAAAATGGATTTTACCACTGAGTTATACTTAGTCTGCTATCAACCCCGTGCCCAGTCCCACTTGATAATGATCCATCTAGTGTGTTGTATATTTTCCAGTTTTCAAAGGTAATTCCACTGCTGTTGATCAAAACTAACATCATCCATACATTAATACCTGCTTACAATTGTACATTTCTAACTTAGATATAGTGAACTAATACTCAAACTGGATTAAAATCAAGTACTGGATGGGGTGGGGTATGCATCTTTGAATTTCTAAACTCTAGATTTATAATTATGTCTTATTAAACATATAATTATGTTTTAGTAGGTCTCATCTAAATCTCCTGGATTTAGTGAGTTTTGCCCATTACAGGAATATACCAAGAAGGTACAGGTTAATTTAAAAATTATTAAAATAATTTCATCTATTATATAGCTAGGCTTCCTTCTGTTGTCATAAATACGTTCTGTCTGGGAATCTGACATAATTGCTTTAAAGACTTGTATTTCCTCCTCCCATTTCCTCTTTCTCTCTCTTAAATCATACTTCTATTGAGGAAATCAAAAGAACTGGCTGTATAGTTGCCTAAAATTGATATTTGATATTATTCTTTGGGCAAGGTTGTTGGAGACTAATTAGTGCCTTTATCTCTCTTTGAAGGCGGAATCAGATGTAGCATGGGGAATATATGGTTAACTTATCCTTCAGTGTTCTTGAGTTATGTAAATGGTTTTCCCAGACATTGTAGAGGGTTGGACTAGAAGATACTTGTGCTCCTGTCCAGCTCCACAGTTGTATGCTTTTCTTCACATACATGCTTTACAAAACTTAAAGCAAATTCTTATATTGTTTAGAATAGTAGCATTAGGAAAGAGAATGATAACTCATTGCTTCCATATGCAGACTCTTTCTCCCCTTCGTATGTATGAAGTCGAACGAAGCCACTCAGCAGGAGAAAGACAAGTATCTTCATCAGATCTTCAAAGCTATTATCAGCTTTAGGATGAGCCAGATAATAAAATGGTCAGTGAAATAGATTAATTCATCCTCTTAGATTCAACCTCTGATTAATATTGGAGCCCTATATATCTATGAATGTTATAAAATGATAATTGACAGGGGAAATAAAACATTCTAATTATGGGTTTCCTATTTTGATGATTATTTTAATTCTGGGACACGGCTACGTTGATTTATAAATCTCTGGATGGTTTTTCAAATCTTAACAGCTCAACCCTTTCAAAATTGTTTAACAAATACATTGCAGACATTCGTATGTTCACCCCATGCTGTCATAAGGATTACTTCTCTGAATTTATCAGAAAGCTATAGATCAGATCTTATTTCTTTCACAGTTCCCATGTGGTTTGCAGTCTATCTTGTTAAAAAGGAACTGAAGAACTGTATCTTGCCTCTACATTCTCTGTAAACTCTATTTGCACAGTTACTAAAACCAAGTCGGGCAATTTCACTTTGTTACTAAAACCAAGTCGGGCAATTTTATCTTCACCAAACCAAAACAATCTGTTTTTTTTTTAAAAAAAAAAGCTTATTTCCTGTAAATCCAATGCCTGTAAATTGATAAGAGCACAGGAGAAACTTTTCACTCTTTTCTTCATCCTGGAAAACCTCAGAGCAACACAGGGAAGCTAAGAATAGGCCAGCAGCAAAGTTTGTAAAGTCTGCAATTTTTTTTAAAAGTGCTGATATAAGATTGAGGCAAATTTGTGGTTGTTTTGTATGCTGATGAACTGTACTGTATGTGGGTGGGTATTCCCCCCCACCCCCCGCATGCCTCTATAACCCAGCAAAACCTATCAGTAGACGTGTGAGGCACAGATGAGAAAAGTATATAGTAGCTTTTGGAGCTGTTGTATCCTGGTAGTTTTTCATTATCAGGGATTTCCAATTGCTCATAAGCGAGGCTTTGCTATGAGAAAGAAGAAAGTGCTGGAACCAGATAAGCGCTGTAAGGTATGGTGTAAAGGTTGTGTGGCTTGTATACTCCAACCAGTTGTTCCTAGAGAAGAGTTGTCATAAATAGGCATTTCTGGACCATCAACACAATTTGGTTTTCTTATTATCCAAAATCTAGTATTTTTAATATTAAATGGAACCTCACCACTTAACAAGTACTAAAGATACAGCATAAATTCAGGTTCACCCTGCATGAATATTGAAAGAAAAAAAAACCCCTGTTATAACTATAAAGTAGTGGTGACTATGCAGTAGCAGACAAGCATAGAAACAAGAAAGACAAGACAAGAAATTATATGTTTAAAGATTGTTTTTATTAATTGAAATAGTAATTTGAAGGTTACTCTAGAAGCTAAGAAAGACAGTAATGCTGGGTAACTGGCTGGGTGACAGACAGGCCCTTGGAACAGTATCTAATTGCTTTCTGAGCACCAATATCAAAGGAGCAAAATCTTTTCCAAACTGGTCTGTGTTAATGTGAACTTAGACCTGGACCTTAAAATAAAGTGTTTCGGTATATTAAAAACAGCAGCACATGCTTAATGGATGCTGGTTCTGATGTTCAAAACGGGAGCAGAGGGGTTAATCTCCTATCAAAAAGAATATTTTTTGGGAAATGATTCTTTGGGAGGTTGGACACTTCTGTTTTAGATATACTGAAATAGGAATAATATTTTGTTCTTGGATGCTGTTTTTTTTTTTATCCTGTCATAATTTGTGCCCTGACATCTGACAGCACCTGCATGCTTGTTTAAACAGATAGAAGTATGATTGCATAGTTAAAGAAAAACAAGGTCAGTCTTCTTCATTGTAATCTTTAGGAAGTGTCCTTCAACCCCTTACCTGTTGAGGCTTGTTTTGATTTGATTTTAACAAACATCTCAGTTGCCCTGTTTGTAGAAGATGAACTGATAATGGCCTTTCTTTTCTTATGCTGACAATCTATATATTACTAAGACTCTTGTTGTTATGACTTTAACTGATATATCATAGGACAACAATTTTTGAACCAAGGTGCCTCAAATGAGCTAACTTATGGAATGCGTCCAAAATCTGGGACCCATGACTCTCGAGGGAATGAAATTTGGGGAAATTGTGGCTGTTTCAGTGTTACTGGCTGCTGCTGCACTTCTGGGCTGCTGCTGCGATCACATGATCTTCATTTTCAACAATTAGCAACAGTTTCCCAGCCAGTCTTGCAATCCCTTGGTCCTTCCCCCACCCAGCAGCGCCCACTCACCTGCCTGCTGGTAAGGGGAAAGGGACGGGAAGGGAAGATTTCTGATGCTTCCTGCCAGATTTTCAGAAGGAAATTCAATGAGGAAACTGGTAGGAAATCACTCCTGCTCCCACTACTTTTTTGCCCTTGGTCATTCAGTTTCTCTGTGTAGGTAAGAAAATATTTCTGAAACAATGACCCAATGGGGCACAGGTTATATAGTTATTTATAACAGTTGCAGATCAGTCTTATGTGCATATGGATGTATGAAATTTATCATATAATTTGTGATATAGGAATTAAGTGAAGTAGTCATTGAAGTTACATTTTCATTGGGCCAATTTTCTAATCAAGTGCAAGTAGCATTCATCAGTTACAAATTCCTTGAACCTCAGGTTCAAAAAACTTTGTAAAATGAGGATGAAAAGCCAGTCTGTATACAAATGTACAGTTCTACTAATAATGAATTAGAAGTATTTTGTGTCACCAAGAGTGGCTGATGCAAGTCTTTAAGTGCTCCCCACAACTTCTACTTCCATTATTTTTAAAAGGTTTTATTGATGGCTTCTTAAGGAAGGGTCAGACCACAGCTTCCTTAAAGGATGTCAGGAACACTCCTGCAGCAATGTATTAATTGCTGCACAAATTCACACAGAAGTCACCACCCTGGAAGCATTTACTAACCAAGAGGGACAGGGATAATATTAATAAGCAAGTAGTTATGCTAACAACCCCAATTGCCCTGTCCACTTCCCCAGTTCCAACAGAATCAAACTGCTCTCAGGTAACAGGCTAAGTCCATGCTTTGGGCATCTCTAATGTACATAGTTTATCTGTACATAGTTTGGTACAATGTTTGACCTTATTTCCAGGTTTATGATGTCCCTTACTTGTGAGCAGTTACAAACAATTCCATTTTTAGAGGGCCATAAGTCTAGAGCCCTGAATTCTAGTCTATTAGTCTATAAATAAAATAGGTCAAGATCCTGGGGAAAACTTCATTAATATTTCCAGTGAAGTTGTTGATCCCAATGAGAATCATTAGGGCATTCAGTTTTTGCAGTCAGAGGCAATAAACACATTCACATTTTGCAGGAAAACAGCTATAACTTTTTGTCTAGCAGTAAAAAACTGAAGAGAATGGAAGCTGATGATCTGAAACTAAAATCACAGTACGTCTTTTAAACCTGAATCTTCCACAAAGTAACTTGCTTGGATTTGCTATGCTAATTGACTCTGTTGTATTACCACAATAGGAAATATTCTATGTTCCTTACTTCCAAGAAAAGAAAAAAAAACCAAATGAAATATAGCATTTAAAATTGTTCTTATCTGATGGGACTTGCAGTTATCTCAATTTTAAGAATTCAAAATATATCAAGAATTTGATAGCAAGAACTTTTATATACATTTATCAATTGGGTGATTAAAAAGCAATTTTTAAGATTAGATGCTTTGATCATATATACTTTAACAGATATTGTTCCTTTTTTAAACTAATTCAACTTTCCCCCAGCTGGTTCCCTCAAAATGTGTTTGAGATTACAATTCTCAACATTCTGGATGTTGCCGTTTTAACACATTTGGAGGGAACCACTAGGGAAGAGTATTGCAATTATTTTCTCTGCCTCCTTACTATTTCTTCAACTATTCTGTTCAATCACTTTAATGTTTGTTCCAGAGAAAGAAAAATATGCCTCAAAGCTTTACTCTTTTCTTTCTGTGTTCTTTCTTCTCTTCCTGCCTCCTACAACAGTTGGACAAGGGGGATGTGAGCCAACTCAGCCTGCCTTCCAATACAAGCCACAGTGATGCTGAAAGCAACATCTGTCTTGATGTTCCAGATGGCAACCCTGACCCGCAGAGGACGAAAGCTGCCATTGACCATCTGCACCAGAAGATTCTTAAGATCACGGAGCAAATAAAAATTGAGCAGGAGGCTCGAGATGACAATGTAGCTGAATACCTGAAGCTTGCTAATAATGCTGATAAGCAGCAAGCCTCTCGTATCAAGCAGGTCTTTGAGAAGAAGAACCAGAAGTCAGCCCAGACCATTGCCCAGCTGCATAAGAAGCTTGAGCATTACCACAAAAAACTAAAGGAGATTGAACAAAATGGGCCGACACGTCAGCCCAAAGATGTCTTCCGGGACATGCATCAGGGACTCAAGGATGTAGGAGCCAATGTTCGCTCCAGTATTAGTGGTTTTGGTGGTGGTGTGGTAGAGGGGGTCAAGGGTGGGTTGTCAGGCCTTACTCAAGCAACACACACAGCTGTCGTTTCCAAGCCCCGTGAGTTTGCAAGTTTAATACGCAACAAATTTGGCAGTGCAGACAACATTGCCCACTTAAAGGATACTCTGGATGATGGGCACCCAGAAGAGACCTCACGGACTCTGAGTGGCAGCGCTACCCTTGTGTCCAGTCCCAAATATGGAAGCGATGATGAGTGCTCCAGTGCCACTTCTGGCTCAGCAGCTGGTAGCAATTCTGTGGCTGGTCCTGGGGGCTTGGGCAGTCCTAAGTCTAACACCTTGGAAAGTCATCATTATAACTTCGACACCATTGTAGAAGAACTGAGAGATATTAAGGACATTCAATCCCATCTCGAGGACTCCATGGAAGAACTCAAGGCTCAGCTCCAACGAGACTATACATACATGACTCAATGCTTGCAGGAGGAACGATACAGGTAAGATTTGCTAAATGTCTTCCTGGTCCTCACCAAGGGACAATGTTCCTCACTAATTAAAAAATGCCCTTAATTGTTCATTTCTGGTGACAGAATCATAGCAACGGAGAATAATAAGATGTTGTTTGCTGAGCGTGGGAGAGCAATTTAGCTGTAGATCTCATTTTTCAGAGAGCATAGATTATATATGCACATAATAAGCAAAATAAGTAAAATAAACAATATTCTACATGTGAAAGAAGTTAGGGTAAATTTTATAGCAGGAATTATAACTTGTAGCCAATAATAGCTTAGGGTTTTATCTTCCATCTTATAGAAGAGAAATGTGGAGCTTTCTTGGCCAAGAATTGAACTTGCCTTTGGCCGATATTTTCAGACCAAAATATGGAGGAGTAAGAATAAAGAACTATCAAGAGACAAGGAGAAAACCAAAATTTATTTTACTTAAAACTACTTTAAGATGTAAAAATAATGCAACTATCGCCCACATATTTTGCCTCATTTTCCCCCTTGTTGTATTAAAATTATAATTTGGTGACAACTTTTAGAAACTTTCTAAGTGCTGTGTGCAAGACTTGGCTTGGGATGAGGGGTAGAAACTGTCTTCCACTAGCCTTATAATGAGAATAAGCAGTCATAAATAATTTTTTATTATGTTGCTGGTTCATTCTGTGTAATAGTAGGGGCAGTCTTGGAACAGAACCAGAAATAATATAAAGGCACTATTTGGACAAACTTGCAAAGTGAGCTTACTTCTAACTCATATGTTTGCACTATTAATGTCAAAACAAAAAACAAAAAACCCTTTTTGATTGAGAAACCCAAGCAGGTATACCAAAGAAAATTTGACTTCTTCTATCCAAGCAGATGGAATGTTGCTGTGTACTGCATGATTTAGATGAATTTACATTCTATGTATGCAGATTATTCTATGTTAATTGCTAAAGTAAGTCTTTGAGAAATTATTTCCTATTTGCTCAGAAAATAGTTTAGTTGCAAATGAGAAAACTGATTTAAATCAGTGATTGCAACAGACCTTTTTTTTTTTTCCTGGTGATTTAAATAAATCCATCCTCTTGCCTAATGGTAGCTTTGAAGAACCTTTTGGAATTTCCTATATAAATTATCTTCAAGAGGATAGACACCCTATTACTGCAATTCATTTTTGTCTATTTATAATACATGAAAGGAAAGCCATTTCTGGCTTTGTACTCAATATTGGCTTTTTATCTTCCATGGATGGGAAGTTCAGAATCAAGCAAGCTTTTTTTTCTGGGCCCTAAGAGTTTTGTCAGTGAAGAAAGAATTGCATATTCAGACTTTTTTTGTGGGAAGGAGCCAATGAACCTAAATGACTGGAACAGTAGCGGGAGTCAAATCCCGTTGGTACTGATTTGCTTGTGGGTTCGTGCATGCACGCGTGCGCAACACATCTGCACATGTGCAGAAACATCCAGGCGGGTAGGTGGAGCCTCCCACCACCGGCAGTACAGTTCGCCCCATCTGGGGCGAACCGGTAGCAACCCACCACTGGACTGGGCGTAGTTGCAGAAGTTGTGTTTTTCATGGCTCAATTTGAGTTGGGGAGGGAAAGTTAAGCATTGGTCTTTCATAGTCTTTGTCATTCTGGCCCTCCACTATCATCATGACAGATCCACCTATGAATTATAATTGATAGGTTAATGCATAAAGCATTTTGTCAACATATATATAAATGTTCATATATATGTAGAATAACAGACATATGTTCTCTGCATGCACAAAGTTTGTGGGATGCTGAAATGGCCAGATAATTGTTCTCATTGGTTATGGTTATCGATTATCGGTTATATTCTGCGTTTTTTCCCCTTTAAGCTCTGTTGGAAAAAAAAACCTGGAAAATTTCCCAAAATATTCTGGAAATCAGTTATCGGTAACAGCAGGGATGGAAATAAAACTCTTTGTTCCCACAAGCAGACTTCAGAAGAGACATTCCTTCCTCCCCCGCTTCATTTGTTTTCCACTCATTTACATCTGTCCTGTTTGAAGGACTAGGAAAGACTTAACATTTAATAGGGAAAGAACCCTAAGGAGACATTAGAACTATTTTTATTTTTATAAATTTATTCATACTGCCTTTTAATTTATTTATTTGGCCTATTTATATATTCCCAGAATAGTTTGGATAATAAAATACAAGTATCAAAACAGCCTCAACATCATAAACACAACATAAAACAATAATCTGAATTAAAAATGTATCTGAAACCTTAAGAAAATAAAAAAGGTCTGTACCCACTACTGAAAAAAAAGATATAACAGATTTTAGAGAAAGAGAGAAGAGTCAGAGTCAGAGATTAGGGGGCCTGCATGAGGTCTCCCCTAATTTTATTCTCAGAATAAAACTCCATGTAGTACTGCAGTAGGTTGTGTGTGAGGGAGTGATTCAAAGTCACCTAATGAGGTGTAAGGATGAGTAGGGACTTAAGCAGGGGTGGGTTCTACTTACTTTTACTACCAGTTTGCAGTGGGACTGCGCACACGCACTTCTGCGCCTGCGCAAATCACCTATGATAACATCGTGACGGGTGGGTGGAGCCTCCTGCCAGTTTTACTACCGGTTCTATAGAACCGGACCGAATCGGGAGCAACCCACCACTGGACTTAAGCCAGTCTTAGTTACTACAATATACTAGATCCTTGCCTTAGGTGTCATTAATAAGAAAACACTTTTTTATATATATATAGTGGCCACATATCTCACCTTGTCGTGTACAGAAGACCTTTTATTGAAGAATTTATGAAGATTGTAATTTACTTTTTATTTCCAAATAAGCATGTACAGGCTCAAATGATGGGAAGGTAACAGCGTTCCGTGCACCTTTGGCGTTTAGTCATGCCGGCCACATGACCACAGAGTTGTCTTCTGACAGTGCTGGCTCTTCGGCTTTGAAACAGAGATGAGCATCGCCTCCTAGAGTCGGGAACAACTAGCACATATGTGCGAGGGGAACCTTTACCTTTACCTTATAGTTTTAAATTGTGTACCACTATCATACCATCATAGAAGTTCTTGGGGGAAGGGGTTATAGCTAGCAAGAAGCAAGCAAGCAAATAGTTTCCCTTTCCCACTTTCAATATTTTGGAGAAAAGGAACTTGAATATACGAATTGGGAAGCCCATGTTTATAACTGCTGTACATAATACTAAACAATTATATAACAATTATAATACTAAACAATAATTATAAACAATTATAGCTCATCAGATATACAGAGATCAGGTATGCTTTTCTATGTGGTGTTAATTTACTCTTGAGTTACCTAACATAACCATCTCATTTTCATTTGCTGAAGAGAAACGTGATGACTCTAGTTATTGAGATTTGCTACTTTCAGGGTGATGAGCCAGGTATAGGATTGGGCCAAGAAAGAGTAAAGTAGAAAAAGCATTACTGCTTTAAAGGCTATCACACTGATAAAGTCTACTAAATCTACATTATTAAGTAGAGGCTGTAAGCAAATACCTCTCCTCATCTATGTATTTCATTGCATAATGACAGATATGATCATTATTTTTAAGGCCCTTAGTGATTTGGAGTTCTTATCTAATAAATCAACTTTTTGTGATCAAAACTGCGACCTCAACACAGACAATCAGAGAATGCCACTTGGAATCCCAACCACACCCAGGGTGTGGGCTCTTGAAAAAGAACCCAAATAATGGGTTCCCTTCCTATGGAAAAGGTTGCTTCATGAAGGGTCATATGGCTTTAAATACTTGTCCCTTTCCAGAGAGACTTTCATTGTTGATTCTGGAGCAATCAATGCAAATGTTATTATAGTTACCTCTTGTTTATATGTCATATTGGAATGCCTTATTTGGCCAAGTGTGATTAGACACACAAGGAATTCGTCTTTGGTGCAGAAGCTCTTAGTGTACATGTAAGCAACAAAGTAATACTAATCATAATGATACCAATAAGAGGAGATAGTAGAGAAGATGGGGAGGATAATAATAACACCACAACCATACAACACAGTAAATATACTTAGACAGAAGACAGTACTGTGGGAATTAGGTGTTCAGCAGAGTGATGGCATGAGGGAAGAAACTGTCCCTATGTCTAATTGTTTTGGCATGCAATGTCCTATAGCAGTGTCCTGAGGGGAGGAATTGAGACGGTTTATGTCCAGGACGTGAGGGGTCACACATGCAAACACGCATATACATATTTTGAAGCATATATATCACACTGGTTTTCCATGATTAGTTCATAGGCTTGTTTCTATCAACTCCTGAGAAATTGCTGGGAATTTTATAGCAGGATCTTATGCATAAGTATTAGAAGGCAAATCTCCCTTAAATAAGGAAGGCTTACTTTCAAATAAGTAAAATTGAGATGTTACCAGTAATCTCAAAATGATGCAGGTATGCATAAAGCTTTCCTCTTCTTTAAGCTAGCCATTGGTTGAATGTTTTCTCTTATTTCCATTATTCAGATATGAACGCTTGGAAGAGCAGCTCAATGACCTGACTGAGCTTCATCAGAATGAGATGACCAATTTGAAGCAGGAACTGGCCAGCATGGAAGAGAAGGTGGCTTACCAGTCCTACGAAAGGGCCAGGGATATTCAGGTACAGACTTACAAGGAGTGCTTATGCAGTTGGTCCAACAACCAGTTCTCCACACATACAGGCATAATTTGGTGTGAATTAACTACAACATGTCCTCTGACCACTTCAAAAGTTTATGGTATACTATACAAATCTCAGGTGGCATGCTACATAGGCAGCACTTGCAACCAAGTCTTTTGACTGAAACTCTGACAAATACCCTCAAGGAGTTTTCTGAATATGGTTGTCTGGAGATGAAAAAGATAAATGGTCTGAAAAAAAAATCTTTATCCCAGGAAAAAATGAATTAGACCAAATCTTCTCAAACTTGTCAACTTTGAGATGTGTGGATCTTAAACTTCCAGAATTCCACAGCCAGCATGCCAGGTTCGAGAAACACTGAATTGGACCTACATTTAAAGAACAAATGTGGTTTTTTTGTAGGATTTAACTTTATTTTATTACTAGCCAATGAATTACCTTCTTTTGCCAGGTTGTGGAAAGGTCATAACTCAGAGGAAAAGCAAACAATCCCAGTTGAATTCCTGGCATCTCCAAACTGGGAAAAAGTCCTGGGTGAGATCCTCAGGAGTCATGGCATGTAATACTGAGCTGATAATATTGATGAGCCATTATCTGGCTCAGTATAAGGCCTCTTCCTCCTGCTTTCCATACCGCTTCTCATGATCTTTATATGTTAGGAGAAAAAAATGTTGCTGTGAAAATTTTTAAAAGATGGGGGGAGGGAAAGAGCAAATAGGAGCTTACTTCATTATCCCATGGTAGAAACTGAAGTAGGGTTGTCAAACTTCCGGCCCGGAGGCCGGATGCATCATGTGCTGGCCACGCCCACACTCGGTTTAGCAAAGGGGAGAAAACTCCCGATACATCACGTGACGCCACCATGATGATGTGACTTTGACACCCCTGAACTAAAGCAAAAGTGTTGGTATAGTAGGTTGAAGATAATTTCAGATAGCTGTATCAACAGAGGAAAATACTTGTTGGGTTGAAATTAGAGATACTTGGAATTCTCTGAGCTTGATTGTTTTCTTGCAAATGTTTCATTAACCAAATTAAGTAACATCATCAGTGCAGTGATAATGATATAGTGTTAATATTCCATTCCTCTTTTCTCTGTATTGTGCTTCACTGAACTTTGCTGCTGCTCTCTTTCCGTGTAAATAATATACTGTATAATCTGATGTATAAAAATGTTTCCCTTCTTTCTTTGTAAATTATATAAAGTTGCATGGAATTGAGAATTATATTCCCGATATGTGTTGTTCTGCCCCCACATGGCAATTCAAGGAACATCTCAGTCTGATCAAAATACTTCAAACAAAATAAATAAGTAAAAGAACAGACATATTGAAGGAGATAGTGCATGTTTCATGGACGAAAGCCACTATTTTTTTCTCATATATATATTTTTAAAAAAAGATTCATCAGTATTTTTAAGAAAGTGCATCTTCTTTAAAATATTTTAAAGGAAGTGCATCTTCTTTACATTGCTGTGGGATATTACCATCCTATTACTCCGATTCAGCAGCAGTTCTGGGGAGGTTTTTTCATGCATGCATGGGCACGTTCAGAGAATCAGGGAAAATTTACACAAGTCTTTGAGGGATGCAGCTGCCTTAGCCTTTCAAACTGTGGTTTTAGAGGGCCTCCCTGAATGCTGAACACAGCCATGTCAAGTATCTTCCACAAGTTACTCTAATCTTTTTCCATCCTCTCATGTACTAATCAAAAATTTGAAAAAGAAATCTCATTGTTCAGACGACTGAGACAGTTGCTTCCATCTGATATGAAATATTGATAAGAGAAGGAATCCTGGGAAGGCAATGGAACATGCTCTGAGTGTCTCTAAGCGATCCTGTTATATGTATTGTAGAACCTTGCACGGCAGTAACTTCAGTGCCACTATAGTGAACAGCAGCAACATTCACCATAAGGAAACCCTCTCTCTTCACTAAACCATCTAAAAATATATATTTGTTACATGCACTTCTTACACTTGCACGAGGCTTGTGGTAGTTTCCTGTCCATATTATCACCTGTCCACTGGTGATGCAGCTCATGTTCAAGTTACATATTAGTATTATCTTCAATTGTGGAAATTCTTAATGTGATTAAAGAAGTCACTGTGGGTCACATTAGACAATCACAATAGAAGCAGGGGTGAAATCCAGCAGGTTCTGACAGGTTCTGGAGAACCGGTAGTGGAAATTTTGAGCAGTTCGGAGAACCGATAGTGGAAATTTTGAGTAGTTCGGAGAACTGGCAAATGCCACCTCTGGCTAGCCCCAGAATGGGGAGGGAATGGGGATTTTGCAATATCCTTCCCCTAGGAGTGGGGTGGGAATGGAGATTTTGCAGTATCCTTCCCCTGCCATGCTCACCAAGCCACACCCACCAAGCCATACCACAGCCACCAAGCCATGCCCACAGAATCGGTAGTAAAAAAATTTGGATTTCACCAACTGAATAGAAGATATCACAATATTATAACCATTGAATTTATATACACTTTCATGGTGCCAGAACGTTGTGAAATTTGTTGGCTTTCTTCGAAGGAGATGCACTGTATCAATAGAAAGTTGATTTATGCTAGACTAGACAATGGATGCATTTATCTTAGTATTGACTCTTCTGTGTTATAGAGCCTTTCCATAGGCCCAATTACAAATTTACTTGCTATTGAGTCACCATAACTAGATACTATGAACTGAATATAATGATCATTTTACTATAGCTAGGTAAAATAAGCATGCAAAATTATTGCTTAGTTATCAATTCACTTTGATTCCTTCTTTGTTTTTTTCCACAGGAAGCTGTGGAGTCCTGCCTGACTCGGGTCACCAAGCTAGAACTGCAGCAGCAGCAACAGCAAGTGGTGCAACTAGAAGGAGTGGAAAACGCCAATGCCCGTGCTCTATTGGGAAAATTCATCAATGTCATCTTGGCCTTAATGGCCGTGCTGCTGGTCTTTGTCTCCACCATTGCTAGTTTCATCACTCCAATGGTGAAGACCCGCATGCGTCTCCTGAGCACTACCTTACTACTGCTTTTTGTCTTCCTCCTCTGGAAGCACTGGGACTCCATCACTTATCTCCTGGAACATGTGTTGCTGCCTAGCTGATTTTCTTGGCAGCCAGTTGCTGCGGCTAGAGGGAGTTCATTTCTTGTAGAAAGGAAGTAAAACTGAGGCAACTTCCAGTTGGTTTTATGTCCATTTGGAGTGTGCAATTCTCACTTGCTTCCTCTTCAGAGCCTTTTGTTGTTGTGTCCAACATTGTCTCAGCAGTAGGGAGAGTAATTACAGTGGAGCTTATGAAAGGCTTACTGTGTCACACCTCTCCTCTGGAATGCTCTTGCAAGGCAGAATGGGAAGACAAATAACCCCCATAAAGAGATCAATCTTTCCGGTTTTATCCATTCCTTAAATAAGATAAAGGGATGATGATGATGAGGGCAGTAATTTATGTACAATCAAAATGGTCTTCTCTAAAAAGCAGTTGTGTAGTTATGGATTTTCTTCTATGTTGGAGAGAAGTGATGGAACATTTATCAGTGTAGTAATATATGAAGACAAAGACAAAGATTCGACACTGAACTTTTTCTTTTTATAACTCATGAAGATGAAAACAATCCAAGAATTAAATTGTGCATACAACAGAAGATAATTCAGGTGACAACATGGAGCTTACTTTCCCTTCCCATAGGACAACTGAAATTTCCAGATATTTAGCTGGACTGCTTCATGTCATGGATTTATTGTCCTTGTGCGTTGGTTTATGAACTAATGACAACAGGATCTGAGGAGAAAGCATTGAGCCTTCTGAACCAACTGTTTTGGTTGGCTTTGTTTTCACTTGTTTTCCTTTTTGATATTTCCATGGACTTTAGAAATACTTATAATCTTTACAGTGTGTGTGCGCGTGTGTGTGTAAGTGTGCATGTGTTAATTTATTGATTTCAGAATTTTTTTTTTAAAACCAAGCATTAGTAAGCAGTCACCTGCCTTCACTTGATGGAGGGCTTTAACGTGCTCTAATAGCAATAAACCCTCAGTCTGCACAAAATGAATGAGCCACCACTTGAATTCGACAGTGTTCATTAATTAGGAGCAGTAGATAATTTGTCCAACTGTCACTGGAGACTTTGGAGAAATCATACCCTTTGATAGACATTTTCTCATGAAAGGATAAGCATCTGATATGCATCATCTGGTCCTGGGATATTCCTCTGGTACTTATTTGAAGATAGCAATTGTTGCAACTCATTTGATGCCATTTTTTTTTCAGCTGAAACTATCAGATCATGGCATATTGTAAGTTGAAAGCTTAAATTGTATTGATTTGACTAGGGAGTTTATGTCAGATGATATTTTAGCATCTGTTCATATTCTGCTGAGATATACTTGCTCTTCTGGGCAACAGAGAGACTTAATTGCATGTTAGGATTAAAGGGCTGGAATCTAAATATCTAACAGAATGAAATGGGAGAGTCCTGAGATAGTGGAGAACGGACTCATGGCATGGCTATCCTCATTCTCTTTTACCACTTTATTCTGTTGCATGTGTAGATATTGTTTGAAAACTATAGGTGTTTATTTTGCACTTACAAGAACTTTGAACAGCCCTTGTTATAGATAGGAAAAGAAAAGATAGTGCTGACAGCTATGAGGATCTGCTCATCTACAAGTGAGCAAGGTAGAAGGAGTTATTTTCTGTGTAACACAGGAAATTATGAACGTTTAATTTTTGCAGTAGTTGCTTCCATTCCCCAGCATCAAGACAACCAATAAGGATGCATCTGTTTGACTTCATTCTCCTTAGGACTACGAAAGGCTGAATAACTTCACCTTGTCAAAACAATGATTTTATTCTCTCTTCACTGGTCTTCTCTCCTGTAACCATACTGCACATTTGCTCTTTATTACACAAAACATTCCTGGGTTCTTTTTGGTAAAATAATATCTACAGGGAATAATTTTAGGCAAAATAACAGTCAGCCTGGTTCAGCTCTGAGCACCTCTGTTTTACTCACTGCTAGCACTTAGAAATGGGAAAATGGTTCTAGTTAAAGCAGCTGAGACCAAAACATGGGCCTACATGTTTGAATAGCGTCATGGAATTTTGGCCTGAGGCTGATTTTTTTCCCTGTAGAGGCCTAACTCTTGATTTTTCCTAAGTACTATGTTTTTCTAAAGACAAAATTCCCTCAAATGTAAGCATCGTTCTGCCCTTAATAAGCCCTGGAAATGTGAAGAACCCAACCTTCATTTAGGCATCTGCTTGATTTGTATATTTTCTTGAAAAAGTCTGGAAACCAGTCTTTATCATCGGTTACAGAAAGATCTGATTTTATATTGTAATTTGAATGGGTAACATATTAAATGATGTTAAGATGAATGCTGAATGAGGTAGAAAGGAGATGTTGGTTGCAAGGAAAGTGCTGTCCTGGAAGATAAAATTAAAAAAAATGTTGGCCACTATCTGTGGTGAAAGCGTAATTGTGCAGGATTGGATCTTTCATCTATTATGGTTCTTATTTTGCACTGTTCCTGACTTCTCCCTGTCAGTAAATGACAGTAGGAATCGGAAAGCAAAGTGGCTTTATTAAAGAAAGTTTGTGGTGCTGTTCCTAGGTGCTGTTCCTTGCTTTCAACAGCAATAGGAGAGTATAATTATTTGGAATGTTTGTCTCTTACTTATTCCCCATTCCATTCTTTTCCCCCCTCCTCTAGTGAGCTATTGCAGGGGTCTCCAACCTTGTGGATTTCAACTCAAAGAATTTCTGTGAGAAAGTCTGTGAGTTGAAGTCCGTAAGTCTTAAAGTTGCCAAGGTTGAAGACCCCTTCAACCTGATCTATTGGCCTGTAAATGCCATTGTACACGTTAGAAGGTATATATTTTGATTGGAATGTTTGAAATGATAAGTTTAAGTATAAATTGATGGGAGAAAAGCTGGTGATTGGGAGGGGAGGGAAGCAAACAGTCGATTGCCATAATTCTTTGTGGCCTTAGATTGCATTTAGCATCCCAAATTCAGCTGATTCAGAGTACTGTTCCCCCCGCCCTTCGCTCCCTAGGTGTGGCATTGGCCACATACTGAGTTTCCTGAAAGCATAAATTTCTGCCTCTTTAGGATAAATCTGTGCATGCTATGAAAATGATTCAGAAGGACTGCTTTGGGCCTCAGGCAAGCACAACACTTCTTCTCTGTTCATTAAAATAGCCCCCCTTTGCAGGCTTCCGCACAAACCTGAAGAAAAGAGGCAGCTCCTTCAGTCACCCCATAAATGGGATGAATTCACTCCTTGAAGCTGCTTTTAGGCATAGGAGAAACTGCTGTGTTCCCAGGAGATCTGCTCTCCCTCTGAATATTTTTGAATCATACTATACCTTAGTTTAGGATTCCTATCACGCCATCAGTTATACCATTATATATTTAAATATATGTATGGAGGATTCTCATGATACTCTATGTTAAAGTCTAAACCTCACCCTCAGGCATAGTCCTTTTCTGAAAAGAACTATGAATGTTTGACTGTATTTATTATGTATGCTTGAATCTTTCCCACCCACTCCCCTAGCCCTATACTATAATATTATATTTCTTTTTCACTAGGAGCCCTAGGCAAGCCCTGCAGGTTTGAATTGATTTACTGTGCTTTTTCATTTACTTTTTTTTTTTCCAAATAAAATGAGATTCAAAACTTTGGCATAAGAAAAGTGCTTCATTAAGCCTGTTAGTACCATTATTCACAAGGAAAGAAATACACAGCAATTTACTGAATGGGGAAAAATGTTAGCCACAAACTTTTAGAACAGAGGTATCCAAACTTGGCAGCTTTAAGACTTGTGGCTGAGGAATTCTGGGAGTTGAAGTCCACAAATCTTAAAGTTTGGAGACCTCTGTTTTAGAACAGAGTTTCTTAAACCTGGAGATGTGTGGATTTCACCTCCTGAAATTTTCCAGCCGGTATGTTATGACCAGTTATCCTTAACTTGGGGAAAGATTTAACTTTCCCCAGGCTGAGGATAGCTGAGCTTTAACATACCGGCTATTAGATATTTTGCTGGTTCCCAAGTGCCCTTATTTATCCAGATTTTGCCATGTTGGGCAACCTATTAGCTTCAGCCTGAAACTCCATATCCCTTATTTTTTTGAATGAGCAGTTGTTTGGGATTCTGGAAGATATGATTCTTGTCTGGCAGACAATCTGTTTTCTGCAGAAAAACCATGTTTGCTGAAAAATATTCAGAAGGCCCAGAATGGCCAAACCAAATTTCTAGTGAATCCCAGAAGACCAGACTCTCAGTCTTTGCACAAGACTTCATCCTTCTGCAGAATTAGCTAAACCAGGAGTTGGTATTTACAATGGATTAATTTGCTTAAAGAAAGTTTTCCCTTACAGAGAAAAGATGGAACTGTTGTGGTAAAATTTGGCTCAGACCTGCTTGCTGAGAAGTGAATGTGGAATAACAAATCTGTGGAAGGAATGCACAGAAGATGACGGACTGCAATTATCAGAACAAGAACTGATAGATAGAATTTGTAACGAAGCAGATTTTGGATAAACATCAGGAAAGAATGCCTTGTAGTGAGAGCTATTCAGTCGTAGAATGGCTGCCATAGAAGTGGCAGCTGCTTCTTTGCCGCTGGTCTTTCAGCAATGGTTGAACAGCAATGGGTCAGGGGCACTATAGCTGTATTGCAGATCCTCTATTAGGCAGGCAATTAAATTATCTCCAGTGCCACTTCCAACTCAATAATTCTATTATTTAAGAAGAGCTACTGCTGAAGGTTCCATGAAGGGTTATATTTTTAAAAAGTGGGACAACCCAGTTTAAGAGAGGCTCATTTCTACTCAGTCCGTTTCTGAGTATAAATCTGCACTCATCCACCTTTTGTGTTCACCTGCCTATGATTTGACTCTGAATATTTATTCAAATCTCACCAGGCTCAAGGTTGACTCAGCCTTCCATCCTTTCTAAAATAGGTAAAATGAGGACCCAGATTATGGGGGCAATAAGCTGACTTTGTATAAATATACAAAAGTATGAAGGCTATTGCTTAATGCATTGTAAGCCACCCTGAGACTCCGGAGAAGGGCGGCATATAAATCAAATAAAAAAAAAAAGAGAGAGAGAGAGACTCTCTTTGCATCTTCCACCAAATAATATTGACTATTAATTCTCTTCCTGCTCCATGTATACTTTCAATTCTTTATTTAAGATTTTTATATATAGAATTCTGGTATGTAGGCAGTGAATCCCTTTCATCATTCCTACCTACAAATGATCCTTTACTCAATATTAGGTTAAATATGATGGCATAGGTGAATGGAAGAAGGTCAGACTCCTGCAAGAAGTCTCAAATGCTGGATTTAGTACGAGCAATCTGCTACCAGAAGCATTTTGTCTATTTATAAAGCCCCAGAAAATGATAGGCCCTGCTAATCTAAGGCTGGAGTTCACTCACTGCATTTGAAACTAGCTGAGACACTATATCAGAGTGAAATTCAAACCCAAAGAGCAAAACAATTTGCACATTAATGATTCAAAGAGAATTAGAGCTTTGCTGTTGAAAGTACTTAATACCACTATCTTTGTAGGAGACTTCAGAATGGACAATAAACATTCCCTTTGTTTCCCAAGGATCAATCCAACATTTTCAGTCAATGTACAGAGACAGAAGGCTCAAAGGCAACTTGAAGCATAAAGTGTAGGAATTGCATCTTACAATCAATGAGAGATAATGTCTTCAGTATAGTGGACCATTATAGAAGAAACTAAAATTTGGGCCCATATATTTTCCAGATCCTTGGTTCCAGCTTAAAAGGAAGGCAGACACACAGGAGCAGTGCCAACCTCCCACCTAGAATTAAAAGAACAATAGAGTTTGAGTTACAGTAATTGTTACCACACATCAGTCTTCATTAAAGAGGTTCTCAGCAGTTCTATTCCTTGGGGAGAAAACCTCTTTCCTCACATGGGTATTGACTGGAATTGCATGAAGGTATTTGGATTTGTAGCCCATGTTGTCTTTGGGATGGCAATATATATTAGAGCGAAGGATACGGATCAGTAAAATATGAAAGGTGACTGCACAGACTAAAAATATCTCAATTGCCATCAATACTACCTTTAGTTCCTATCACTGATAGCTAGATTTATCAAGGTTTAATTTATTAAGGCAATGGCAAACAACTAAAAACATTGAGTCAGGTAGAGGCCTTGTATTGTTTTTGGGATTCTCCGTGTGAATTAGCTGCAAAAGGATTCGTTTATACATCAAAATAAATACTTGAAGTTTTGTCCTGGCTTTAAATGGGAGAAAGTCAGATTAAGCCAAGATTATCTGGATTATGATTCACCTTGTCATCAGTCAGAAGGATTTACTGTTCTGCTTAAGCTTTCACATCTAATCCACTTTCAAGGACAACTTTGGTGTACACATATCGCGAGTACAATCACAAACCTGAATAATAAAGACAAATGTGCTATCTTCAAAGCATTTGTGTTTGTATGTATTTATTTATTCCTGGGCAGTTTCTCCAGTCAATATCTACTCTAAATAGTTTATATATCTAATATCCATAAATAAGACTAGAAGGTACTAGAAATCATTACAATCATTACATAACAAATCATTACAAAGAATATTAAAGGACCAAAGAATATTAAAATCCTGTCAAACAAGTACTGTGCTCTAAAAAGAAGCAATGCCATTATCCTGTATATTCCCTCAAAGCCTGTTGAAAAGTCAGATTTTAGTTGACTGATTGACCGATCAACAAATCAGTGTTGACACTTAGCAATCACATTGATTGATCCTTGCCTTGTTGTTCTGTCTCCAAATTGCTCCTTTAGGTCTTTCATCAGCGTGTGTACATCACCACTGCAACCAAGTCCGTCCAGTGTGCTGCTTCTCAACACTTCTGTTTTCCGCCACCTATCCCAGCATCAGAACCTTGTCCAGGAAGCTGGCCCTTCAAGTGTGTTTGAAGTAGGACAATTTGAGCCTGGTCAATTTGAGCCTGTAGTGAGAACTCTGGGTTGATTTAGGGAATGGCCCATTTATTTGTTTTCTTAGCTGTCCACAGTATTTTCAAGATTGTTCTCCAACACCAAGGTTCAAAAGTGTCAATGTTCTTCTTATTTTGCTTTTTCATAGCCCCAAGTTTCTCTTCCATAGAATGTCACAGGAAATACCATGGCTGTTGCACTATTCTGATCTTTGTAGGTATAGAGACACCACAGCAACGTTTCCAAGGCTTTCATGGCTCTGTTACCAAACCTTAGACTGTGGTGTTTTTCTTGACTGCTTGTTCCTTTACTGTTGAAGGTTGGTCCTAAAATGCAGAATTTATCACTTCCATATCTTAATTCTCAGTTCTAAGGTTGCTTGTTGTATGTTGTCATTAATTTGGTCTTCTTCATATATAATTTTATTCTCAACATTTTCACTGTACTCCTTGACTTTTATTACTAAAGCTTGCAGATCCTTTGCATTGTAAGCTGCCTGGTGTGACTGAGAGTGAGTTGGGGAGCCATAAAAATGTTCATAAATAAATAAATTTTGGACCATCAGAGTAATGTCATCAGCATAGCATAAGTTATTGATATTTTCTCCTTATTTATTGTTGAATAAATAAGCCAGAGGTATCAAACTCAAGGCCTGCGGGCCAAATCTGGCCCGCAGGGTTTTAGATCTGGCCCGTGGGGCCACCCTAGAAACAGTGAAGGACTGGCCCACAGTGCCTCTGCCAGTGAAAATGGAAGTCAGGGAGCTCCTTTTCAGTGGCAGAGGGCTGCAGGAAGCTGTCGTGACTGAAAACAGAGCTCAGGAGGGCCACACATAGCCTCCACAAACTCCGTTTTTGCTGGCAGAGGGCTGCAGGAGGCCACTGTAGCAGAAAACGGAGCCTCGATGAGTGACATCGACCTGACCATGCCCATGCTGCCCATGCCCACCTCGGCCATGCCCACCTCCCCCCCCAAGATCAAACACAACTTGATGCAGCCCTCAATGAAATTGAGTTTGACACTCCTGAAGTAAGGGAACAATATACAATCCTTTTGCATTCCTTTGCCAACCTGGAGCCAGTCTGTTTTGCCATGTTCTGCCCATAGTGTGGCTTCCTTACCTGTATAAGTGTTTCTCATAAGGACAATGAGATGTTCTGGGATTCTCATATTTGTAAGCACCTTCCACATCTTCAGGTGAACACAATCAAAAGCCTTCAATGAAACCTATAGTGATTTCTTTTTTGTATTCTTTAGCTTTCAGGATTATCCAGCATGCTTTAGAAGTAATGTCTTGTGTTTCTTTGCCTTTCTAAAGCCAGCCTGAACATCTGGCACCTCTTTTATCATGCAAGGATCTAATCTGCATTGGATGATCCCATGCATTATTTTGCTAGCATGTAAAGTTAAGGACTCTGTATAATAGTTTGCACACTGTTGAATCCCCCTTTTGAGTAGAGTATTGGAATGTAGATTGACCTTTTCTATTCGGTTGGCCATTGTGTTGTTCTCCAGATTGGCTGATGTAGTTTAGTTAGAACCTTTACTGATTCTTCTTCCCTTACTTGCAATATTTCTATGGATTTTTCATCAGTTCCTGTAGCCTTCTGGCTTTACAACTGGACTGGACTGGACTTAACTTCATTTTTGATACTAGAGGTTCTTGTAAATAGGAAATATTTTCTATAGTATCTTGGACGTCCAGATGTTAATGCCTGTCTTAAATCCCAGTAGAATTGAGACCACCTGGATCTGAAGAGGAATGCAATTCTAAAGAGCTAACCTCCATGGTCCTTTTCCCAGAAGAGTCCCAGAGAGAGTCCACTTTTCCTGATCTTCTTTGGTGGGCAAATATAAAAAGAATCAGTGGTGCAAAGTTACATAAAACAGCAAATAATGCTACGTAAGTTTTATGAATGAACTTGCCAGTTCTGACTAAAAGCTTCACTCAAAGTTTCAAATGCATTTTGGAAAGTACTGGAACTTTAACCTGAATGATGATAGGTAGCCAAATTTAGTACTTTAATAGACCACTACAGATGCAGCTTTAACCTAGTTCCATAGCCAATTATAGCTGCCAAGATTTCTGTAAAGCAACCTGAGTCAAAAGAGGCTGTGAGGGTGTTCACAGGATATAGTTATAGCCCATTTGTACTGGGTTTTGTTGCATTTCTCTTTTATGAAAGAAAAGAAAGAAAGAGAGGGAGGGAGGGAGAGAGAGGGTATTTTCTTTCCTGTCCTAACTTCTTGTGCTATATCCCAAAATTCTCTTGGATAAATAAAATTCTTGGAATGCAGAGGCATTATCTGTTATGTAGACAGTTATTTTTTCAACTTTGGCAACTTTTATGATGTGTGGACTTCAAGTCCCAGATTTCCCCATTCTGCATTCCAAGAGTTAATTGACACATCTTAAAATTGCCAAAATTGAGAAATATTGATGTAGACAACCCCACTGGCAAATCTGGAAGTTCAGATGCACCTCATCCCTTTGAGACATACTCCTAAAATCAGTTCAGAAATAACCCCAGTTCATATCTGTATCTATGTAGCTATATCTTCCAAATATCATCAATTCAGGTCATAATATGTATTGGTAAACAAATATGAATAATGATTAGATGTTTGAGTCAAGCTGGGGCTTCTCAGATTCAAGTCCTCATTCAGAAATGATGATTACGGTTGATTTTGAATTGGTTATCCTTAGTTTAACCTAACTCACAGAGTTATTCTGAGGATAACATTTGGAATTTAGGGAAGAGAATTATTGCTCTTGTTGGAAGAAAACAATACAATATAAGCAAAATACAATTTATTGGGACCATCTGAAACAAATTCTTAGCTACTGGCTCTCCTAAAATAAAAATGGAGAATATGAACATTTTGTCCTGAGTTTGACAATGTTTTTCTCTTGCTATAACAAGTGATGAAAATAGTTTCAGGATTGTTTCTGAATTCTGGACAGGCAAGGGATACAAATAAGGAAGTTACAGAAGTTACAGACATTACATTCATGTTTCATTTTTGATGGTAGAGAACCTGAGATAGAAGTCCTGTGAGACTTCTTGATGTCCATGCTGGCCTACAATCTGAAATCTCTTAGAAGAAAAAATAAAATACAGGTACAAAGATATATTTTGGTCCTCAACTTCTGCTATCAAGAAAAGTGCAAATATTCAGGTTTCATTTCTTTGATAAGAGAAAAGACAATATTTATGTTTATTGCTGACTGGAAACACCTTATGGACTTTTTGCATAAAACAGAAAACAATGAAAGTATGACTTATGGTATTGATGAGGTAGATTGTGGAAAGAAGAGGGGTATATTGTATCCATAAAGTAAGAGGTAAATTTATAGTTACATTTATAACTGCTGTAAAGAAAATTAGAAGTTACTTCTACCTTTTTTCCATTTCTTTCTATTTTTCTTTCTTGTATTTTTAGATTCCTCTTTGATTTATTTCTCTCTCTTTTTGCACTTTATATTAGTTTATAAAGCGTGTGTGTCTCAGTGTGTGTATAATTATCTCATATAATTATTAGACATATTTACTGCAATAATGTGGTTCTTCCATCAGTATGAAAGGTACATTTTAAATAGCATATTCATTTTCATAAAAATATTAGAAAACTCATGAAATTATTTACTTCTAGACACATCTATGAAAATAGAACCACTGCCATTCATAACCTATTATATACATATGTACATGTTTGAATCATAATATTCAAAAAAGAGGAAATACTGTATGTAGTATGCATCCAGTTATCTTGGAGAAGCTTTGTGCTATGAGAAAGGGTGAGTGGTTCCTTTCTGACTTGGAAAAAATTTAACAACACAATGTTGTGTTCACACAGAACACTCAACACTTGACTTCACAGATGCATTTTCCTATTATTCTAAGTTTAATTGATTAAAATCTAAAGTAGATTTTGTGTGTGTGTGTGTGGCTCAGCCGGTTTAAAAACTCAGATCATTTTTAGTTTATGGTTCAGTATATTGTATTAACACAGAAAATAGGTTAAATATATTGGTTAAAATTGGTTAAATATAACCAAGTTAAAGAGATTTAATGCTTTACATTAAGTGCAGAATTTTCCAATTCCTTTTTTACAAGCATTTTAGGAACTTCATATTAATAAGACCAAATGCATGCTTATTTTTTTGGTAATACAACTGATAAAGACACAGTGCCAAACCTGAATATTTGCACTTTTCTTGATAGCAGGAGTTGAGGACCAAACTATATCTTCGTACCTGTGTTTTATTTTTCTTCTTTTAAGAGATTTCAGATTGCAGGCCAGCGTGGACACCAAGAAGTCTCACTGGACTTCTAAACAAGTACTATCTCAGGTTCTCCACCATCAGCACCAGAAATGAAACATGAATGGATGTCAGTAATTTCCTTAGGCGTATCTCTTGCCTCTACAGAATTGTAATGTGAGACTAACTTCATCACTTGCTATTTCTCAGCCAGTTGGAAG